AGTGAACTTTGGCTCACATGCTGGCTGTCTCCTAAATGAACCCCCAGTGTGTACTTAGTGTGACTCCAGGAACGAGAGAGAAAGACAGAATTGAACCGGTGACTTCTTGGTTCCTGGGTTGACGCTTAATTTCTAAGCCACATCAGCTGGGCTCATTTCTTTTTTAATTGCCAAATAACATCCCGTAGAGTGGATATACCACATTTTATTCATCCTTTATCAGTTGATGGACATTTGGGTTGCTCCACCTTGGAGCCATCCTGAATAATGCTGTGAACATTCATGTTTTGCGTGGATGTATGCTTTCCGCTCTCTTGGGTATACACCTGGGAGTAGAATCACTGAGTCATGTGGTAAGTTTATGTTCAACACATTGAGACACTGCCAAACTGTTTTCACAGAAGAAAAAAAAAAAAAAAGGCAAGATCTACACCTGGTGAATGTCAGGCAAATGCCTTGCAGGTCTCAGCACTCCAGGAACTAGCAAATGGATTGGATCAGATCAGGAGGCAAAGTGCTGCGTAGAAAGAAGCCAGTGTCCAGACCCAAACCCTAGCTTCCCATCCCGCCCGCACGCACGGCCAGCTCCACCCAGCCACGCCGGCCCTGAGCTCTCTTCCTGGCCTGGGTGTCAGGTGGGGAGAAAGGTAAGGCTGCATTGCTGCAGCTGAGGTTCCCTGTTCCCACAACAGGTACCTTGTGTTTGACTACCTTGCTGCTCACCCAAGCGTCCCAGCTCACAGAAGAACAGGACTTGGCCTGAGGAGAGTTATTCTAAGATGAAGCCAGTTGTCTTCCATCTCAGCATCCCCCTGACTGCTGGGGGTGCTCCGAGGAGCGAGCAGAGCATGGCGGCTTGCAGAAAGCCTGTGAGAACTGTGGCGATGGGCAGCGGACAAAACCCCATCTGTTATTTTGCCTTCTGTTTGTTTTAGAATTTCAAAGGCAGTGAGCAGTTGGGCTGCTCAACTTTATTGTTCACAGTTGGGGAGAGAAGAGTTGGAATGGAAACCCCATCTTCCAGAAACTACAAAAAGCTGCCCCTTCTTGGGCTCCTTCATTGGCCATGGAGTCCTCTGTGCTCCTGGGCAAGGGTCTCAGCTGTGTGATGTGGCCTAATCAGAAATCCCAACTGACCACACACGGGTCTCAGAAGTTGCCCAGAAAGGCCTACCTCTCAAATCTCCTGGCCAATATTGGAAGTATTGGCAAGAACCTGAGGGTGGGGAGGAGAAATAAAGTAAAGAATAATCCACTCCTGCCCCAGCTGGTTTTGTTCAGTGGATAGAACATCGGCCTGTGGACTGAAGGGTCTCAGGTTCAATTCTGGTCAAGGGCACATACCTCTACCAATCAATGTGTTTGTCTCTAACTCTCCTCCTCCATTCACTCTCTCTAAAAACCAATGGAAAAAATATCCTCAGATGAGGATTAAAATAAATAAAACCCCTACTTAAAAATAATAATAATAATAATAAGCCACTCCTGCCCCAGAACGGGCAGGCCAGCTGCCTCTGGTTAAAAATAAAAGATGCACCAATCTAGCAGAGAGGGCCACTACTATCCACTGTCTGTGTCTCCTGCCCTGACCCCGCTGTGACCCACCCCACCACAGCTCACCTGGATCATCTGAAGGTGGTTCATGTCTAATGCAAGGTCACCCACCATCCCAGTTTGCCCAGGACTAAGAAGGCTCCTGGCATATGGGAGGGACTTGCACTTTCAAATAGAGACAGTTCATTAAATCTGGACTAATGTCTTACTTGATGGTGACATGTGAATTATTAATACATCTCTAAAAGTGGCTGCCTATGCTAAAGTCTGAGGGGCTGCACATTCTCCCAGCAGCCTTTGGGTCATCTTAAGCCTCTGACTTCAAGGGTGGCGGACAGGAGGGTAGAATAGGTGAGGGCAATGGGTTTGCACCCACAGCACTAATGTAGCTCCACACCTCTGTCCGGCCCTCCTCCCCAACCCCCAGACCTGAATCCATGCTTCCCTGAGTGAAGTAAGAGCTTCTCACACTGTCCGGTCACGCTGTTCCCCGGAGCTCCTTCTACCTGGCCCCTGGTGTCAATTAAGTAGAAAAGCTAAACTGAAACCGGTTTGGATAGAGCGTTGGCCTATGGACTGAAAGGTCCCGGGTTCAATTCCGGTCAAGGGCATGTACCTTGGTTGGGGGCACATCCCCAGTGGCGGGTGTACAAGAGGCAGCTGATCGATGTTTCTCTCTCATCGATGTTTCTAACTCTCTATCCCTCTCTCTTCCTCTCTGTAAAAAATCAATAAAATATTTTTTTTTAAAGTAGAAAAGCTAAGTCTTGGGTTGTGGTAGCTGCGGCTGGTTACCTACCAACAGCCAACCTCACTGTTGGAACCTTGGTTTTGTTCAGATCATAAGTAACTGAGGTGCCCAGCCCTAGTGAGTTATGGCAATTGCTTTCCTCTTTGCTCATGATTGGGTTAGGGTGAGCAAGCCAGCCAGGTCTGGCCAAGATGTCAAAGAAAATCTACTGGGGTGAGGGGGGTGGGGAGATTCTGGAAAAGGGTTTAGGTCTGCCACTCCTTTTCTGCTTTGGAAGTCGCCTGAGCAAGGGCACAATTTTGGAACTCCTGCAGCAGCATCATGTGACCATTGCAGGGGAGTGGTGAGGGGGGAAGGAAAGAAGATCAGAGAGATGCCAACTCAGGGCCATGTCATTGTTGAACTACTGAACCAACCCTTTACTTCAGATGTCCCATTATGAACACTCCTCAAAGAGGCCGGCGCATCCTGTGGCTTGCAGCTAAAAGCCCGTGATAGAGGAGAAGAACACCTGAAGCCCTGACAGAGAAACCCACGAGGAGACACCTGCCTCCAGGCAGGACACCTGTCTAACCCAACCTGGACAGAAGTGCACCTGAGCTCCCCAAGACAGGAAGTTCACAAGCTCCCTTCCTGCCTCTTCCTCCAGCGCTTCCTCCTCATGATCACTACAGGATGACTCACCTCCTTGGATCTGGAGGGCCTTGGGGTCACCCTATGGGACCTTGAAGCAAAGAGGGCCGGCCCATCACGCCAAGTCCCTTCCTTTGGTGCGGGTGGTGCTCGAGGGAGGGAGCTCTGGAGTCTTACTGTGTAAGGCAAGGTAGTTAACCTTCCCAGGCCTCAGTTCCTTCATCTGTCATGGGGACAGTAGTGCCTAGCTCACAGGTTACTGTGAGGAGAGTAAGGATGGAAGGTCACATACACCTGACACTGCATCACAGGTTCCCAGGACCATTCTTTGGGTCATCTTACGCTTCTCACAGTCTAAGAAGAGCTGTTATATTCTTAGTGAATATTTTAGTACAGCTGAAGAATACAGATTAAGATCAGCAAAAGGTAAAAGCAGCACAGGCCAGGGCCCGGGGGAGACCAGGCACAAGCTGCCGGTTGTCCTCACCCAGGGGAGTTGTGGGGACGATTGATCCATTTTCCAGCAACAATATGTTGCAACCCGTTGCCCTGTCAACCAGGGAAGCCCGCCTGGGTCTTGGTGTGCAGGGTTTTATTGGTGGCTTATAACTGGGCAAAGAGCACCTCCATGGCTGACCTTTGTTCCTCAATCTCCGCTCCTCCAAAAGTCAGACTGATACCGCCTGGCCCGGGGTCCCCACCATAAATCACATTGTTAGCAGAAACTATCTGGCTTGGCCCAAGGCCCCTGGGAAACTCAGACAAACTCTTATCAGGCAGCTCATTGCAAGGGCTTGGAGGCTATCTCCCAGGCGTTGGTCCGGAGCCAGGCTTTGCTTTGAAATGTGCAAGATTTGAACATCCCACACTTGCTGAGTCAACCTTTTACTGCACAGACACATAAGACGCACCCAACACTATTTTTGTTTCTTATGTAGGGCTGAAATCTGCCTCCCGCCAGCATCCATCCTTTGCTGCTAGAGAAGGACATGGCTGCAGTCTAACTCTTTCTCCTCCTGTCCCATTCCTTTCATTACGGAGGGGCCTCCACTCGGGCAGCATCATGGGTTCTCCCTCCCATCACTCCTGTCCCAAAAAAGGGGAGTGACTTTCTGATGGGGGCATTTGGAAGAAAGATCAGCTCTTGCACAGCCCACCCCATTCTCTCTCTCTCTCTCTCTCTCTCTCTCTCTCTCTCTCTCTCTCTCTCTCTCTCTCTCTCTCGCTGTCCCTCAGTAGAGAGGTCACACTGCCTGGCATACAGAGGCAGCTCCATCACTGCCAGTGCCTATGCCTGGGGACTGCATCCGGCTCAGACATGTGGTCTTAGCGAGCCCACCTGGCTCACTTCCGTTGTTTCTGGGAGATTCCCTGTGGTCTGGCAGTGTTTGGGGGACCAAAGAGAGGAGATGTGACTCGGTGAAACGGAAAGGCTCATTGGAAATAAAGGCACAGTGACAGCCAAGGAACCCTGACCCCCAAGTCACCCATGTGACAGTCGCAACCCTCTGTGAACGCCTGAGGTGGCTGTTTCCAAAGGGGCAGCCCAATGGCAAGGGGGCTCAGGTGACCTGGACTTGACCTCGGCCCTGCCACTTGCTAACGTGGAGACCTGGGTAAAGGACAGACCCCTTCCCTCCTCCCCGGGTCAGCTTTTCCCAACAGGGAACAAAGGTGCCTGGGAAATGTACACAAACGATTCCTGCTCCACAGGTCAAAGGCGAACACCAGTTTCACTCTTTAGAGCGCCGCCCTATAGGTGTCACAGCATCCGTGGGCTGAGCTCGTCTGGAGTCCTAAAAAGCTCTGGGCGTCTGATCTGCCAGGCGGCAGACTAACTAAAGGGGAGGTAGAGGCGGGCAGAGGCAGCCAGGATGCGACAGCCTAACAGCGAAAGCAGGAGAAACGCCAGCTGGGCGAGGATAGGAGCCGCAAAAATAAAGCCATCAGAGGCCGTGTGGTGCCTGGGCGAGCGATGGGCCCCTCTCAGGAGCCCAGGCCTTCAGTAACAAGTCACGAGAGCCTTGAGTCATTCAAAGAAAGGCGAAGCTGTTCAACACAATCAGTTTAAGAAGATTAAAAACAAACATGCCATACACTAGAGCAATATTACCATTGCAAACAGGAAAATAGAAGGTGGGAACTGGAGGTGTCTAAAGGACACTTCCTTCTCTGACGATGCTGGATCAATGGAGCTCCACCGAAAGAACATACTGGGGTCTTTTGGCCTCTCGGCAAGGTATTATTTAGGTAGGAGGAGGAAAGCAACAAAAACGGAGGAAGGGGAGCCAATGGACAAGGCCGTAGGGTCTGTCCTTCCATTTAAAAAACCTTCTACTCGCTCCTCGCTAGAAGCGCAGCTCCTGCGTGGGGAGGCCTCAGTTGGTCTGGACCTTCTTGGGGAGGCCCAGCGCCTCTCGACTCCTGCCCAGCAGCATGCCCTCCAGCCGCTGGCAGTGCTCCCGCAGCTGCTTCTCCCGGGGCAGCAGGAAGGTGAGGACCTTGTTCCGCACGACGCCCCGGTCCTCCTCCTCCCGCAGCCGCTGCTTCACGCGGGCCGCCTGCTCCTCCTGCTGCGCCAGGGCCCCATGCATCTCGCGGAAGGCGTCTTCCAGGTAGTGGATGGCCTTCAAGGCCTCATTCTTAAAGTCCTCCAGCTCCCGCTGCACCGCGGCCACCTTCTGCTGCAGGACCTCCAAGTCCGCTGGCGGCGGGAGGCCCGAGGGCCACGACGGGGGGAGGGAGAAGTCCCCAGACTGGAGGCCGCTCTCCACCATCTTCTTCCCTTGTAAGGTATTCACCTTCATGAGAATGGACCCCGCCTGGTAGAGGGGTTCCATAGTCTTCCCGTTTGGGACAAGGAGAGGGAGCTAAGAGACCTGCCAGGCCAGTGGAGTTTTGGGGCGGTGGGTAGGGATGGGGGAACGCTAGAGACAAGACACACAATCATTTGAAGTGGAGAAGCCCGCATATTGTGACATCAGGGCCCCTTCAGCCAATCAGGAGGCAAAGCCACAATCCATTCATTTCATATGATAGTCCCATTGGTTGGTTATCCAGAGCTTTGTGTGCTCATCCACCCAAGAGGTATTGAGTTGTCCCTCCTGAGAGGCGGGTTCTGATGAGCTCATCACCCTTCCAGAACCAGAGTTTAATCTCTCCCTTAGCCTCAGAGACAGACCGCGGCCCAGGGCAGGGAAGTCAACCAGCCAAAGCAAAGCAGGCCAGGCCAGACTCACCGGCTGCCAAGGCTGGGTGGTCTTCCACCCTGGGAGGGGAGGTCTCGGAATGGTCTCTGGGCTTCAGTACCTCATCAGTGAAACAAGCACATCGTAATAGATAATACCTAATCCACTTCTAGCTCTAAAATGCTATAAAAAAAAAAAAAGTAATTTCTGATTCCAATCCATACTCCTATAATGGTGTCAGAATTCTAGATAATGTTAGAAGCGGCGAGGAATGCAATGAGGTTTTGATGTATGGTCCACAGCAGTGCTGACTTGGGATGTGCGGGGTAAAAACAGGTCATTCATTTATTCTGCAGGTGCTCGCTGAATGCTCACTCTGCACCGGGACCAGGGTGCGAGGGTGGCAAGCGGGATGGTCTCCACTGCCCAACTGCCAGAAAAGACACGTAGAGAGTGAATCACACACGTCCTATCTGATTACTCTAAGGAAGGAAATGTTTCTAATTGGTTTAGTCAAGAATAAGGTGACCAGACGTCCCGCTTTTGGTGGGACGGTCCCGATTTTTAACAATTTTTAACAATTTGGGACAAATTGTTCAAGTCTGGTCACCTTAGTCAAGGACAAACATCTATCTTGCTCATCTCAATCTCTTGCCCAGATTTCTCCTCTGGTCTCTGAATCTAAACATCTCTCCAGTGTGCCTCAAATGTGATCCAAAGCTGAACTAGTTATCATTTCTTTCAAACTGGTTGTCATCTGGATCATGACACCACCCTGGGGCAGCACCCATGCCAGCATCCACGTGACAAGCCTGGAATCAATGTAGACCCCTCCCCATCCAAGTGGCTCTGAGACCTTCGGATGCCACCACCTCTGAGCATGCTCGCATCAGACCACCTGGGTTGGGGGGCAGCTCCACCACCTACAGCTGTGTCTCTTACCTCCCTGAGTCTCAGTTTCCTTATTTAGACAGTCTGAATACTAATTCAGTGGTATGCAGCTCCCTGGGAGGGGGAAAAATAAGAGCTCTGATTTATAGCTGTTGCCAGTTTCCATGGTGTAAGTATCGCCACCATGGCTGATTTCAGGCTACCTACAGGATGTCTCTGGGAAGAGATACGCTCAGTTGGCCCTCACGAACCTGTAGGAGCCAACTCTGCAACCACAGGGCCCATGGCGAGGACAGCTGCCTTCCCCGAGATGCAGATGGCCCACCTAGACTCTAGGTCCTAGAGTACCTGCAGTGGGCACCATTGAGGGCACTTTGCAGGGAAGTTCGTGACTAAACTAAGGTGTGCTTTTGAATCTCGAGATGGGATAACAAACCCAAATATTGAAACAGAATGTTTGGTGGGAAGAGCACTGTTCTAGGAGTCAGAAGATCTGATGTCTGGGATTGCCGTGTGACCCCAGGCGAGCCACCTCCCTTGTCCGAGGCTGTTGTCTCTGCTGTACGTGGGAAAGTGGGGGGCAACTTCTCTGAGGTCTCTGATGTTCTAAGGTCCACACGGGCCTTCCTTTAAACCTCTCCCCAGGCACTTACCGCCTTCTCCCTCTTCCTGTGACCTAGAACCCATCCTTCCAGGCCGCCCAGGAAATTACATGAGGACAGGGACTGTGCATCTCTCATCCTACGTACCCCCAGTGTCCTGCCTGGTGCCCTGGTGCACTTAGAAAACTGGATGACATTGAGGTTGCATTCATAGGGAGCTCTCAAATCCAGGAGCTCCCCTGGCTTTCCTTCTGACACGATGACACCTACTGGTCCGTGTGGGAACAGCACCCTCTTGATTCCCAGACCTGAGATCCAGAGGGGAACTGGGAAGGTGATGTAAACAGCCTGCAGACTTGTGGTGTAATGGGGGGTGGGGGTGGGGGGGGGGGGTGTGTACAGGGCCAGCCCATAGTAGGTTTTTGAATCAGCAAAAGAAAAAATGTGTCTCTATCTTGTGATCTCTCTCTCTCTCTCTCTCTCTCTCTCTCTCTCTCTCTCCATTTACTCTCAGCCTCTTTGTCTCTCTCCCACAGAGAACGCTGGAAATCATAACCAGAGCTATGAAAGAAAAGTAGCAAAAGTTAAAAAAGGAATAGCAGTTCCTCAATTTCGCTGGTGCTTTTTCATGAGGTTTCAGTTCATTTCTCCTCAGAGCCCTGGGGAGGGGGGGGGGGTGGGCGGGGGGAACCATATTCCCCCTGAGCCTCTGTCAACGGAGGAGCCAGGCTGGGCAGCTCCCGAACTTTCTGGGGGCCTCAGCAGGGGCAACTCGCCACCGGGCACGTGCTCTGCATGTCCACCTCCTAGAATAGGGGTGTCGAACTCAATCAGAGAAGGGGCCAAAATCTAAAATCCAGCCTAAATCGCGGGCCGAATGGTTTACTGAACAGTCATAAACTGTCATTGTGATGGAAACGCAGCGGAGTGCAGTGATGACAGCGCGGTGCGGGCCACATTGCAAGGCCTGGCAGGACGGATTTGGCCCACGGGCCTTGTGTTTGACACATGTGTCCTAGAAGGTTCGCAGTCCAGGCCTGTGCCTTCCTCACAAATTCCCTTCCATGTAACCCAGGACAGACAACACGTCTGTTTGTCCTCTTCAGGGTGTCAAGAGAAATGGCTTCGGACGTCCGTCAGGAGGGTTTCTCTGTCCTTGGTCTATTCCCACAGTTCACAGGCTCCCTGTGACTCAGGATAATGGGGGGCTACCAACCCCACAGAGGTCCAGATCCCACCCCTGAGAATCGGATCCCTCCTGATTCCATGGGAAGGGTCTCAGGCGTGGGCATGTGTTAGGAGGTCTTGGGTTGGGGACACTCCCGCCCACATGGATCAGCACCCCTCCCAGGCTCTGTCATGTGCCCCTGCCCACGCCTCTGCCTCTATATGTGAAGAAAAGGGACATGTGTACACTCCTTCACGTGCCTCTTTAAAAGTGAGGGGGCCCTTTAAAGCTCCTCACATCCCGTTTAGAATCACATTCACGTCCTGTTTCTAACCCAAGTGCTGGCTGGGGGGCCGGAGCTCTCAGAGTTGGCTCTGACTGATCACGGGCCCTCCTGGGGCTGGACCGGGCCTCCCATGCAAGCACCAAATTGGGGTTCTGTTCCCAAGCAAGAAAGGGGAGGAGAGATGACCAACTGTGGCTTCCACAACGCATAGCTGTATTGGAGGAGAAACGCGTGAAAGAGCCAAGCTCACCCTCCAAAACTGAGCTGCTCATGTCCACTTTCAAGCAGCTTCTTCAAGGAATCCCTTAAAACCAGCCCCTCTGCTTCCACGGCCAAGAAAAAAAAAAAAAAAAAAAAAAAAAAATATATATATATATATATATATATATATATATATATATATATACACACAAGTTCAGAGCAATCTCTCAGCAACATCAGAGAGTGTGGGGTTGGCTACTTCCAAAGCAGAGAAGGTAGTCGTCGGTCCTACCCGGCATATTGTCTTCCCAGAATCCCCTGGGCCTGGGTCTGGGCCTGGGCCTCCCCAGGTGGCTGCTGGCCTGGGGGAGGATGCTTCACAGCCTGTGTCTCCCCAGATGTGCCCCTACCAACAAGAGCAATCTGGACGCACGGCATCTTAAAACCCGAGCGCACAGAGGGCCTCCCTCCAGCCTGCACTCACCCATCCATCCAGCCGCGTGGTCAAGGCCATTGACGGAGCACCTGCCCTGTGCACGCTGAGCTGGGCAACGGATGTAAGAGAGCAAACAAGAGAGGGGACCCCTGTCCTCAAGCCGCTGGCATTTCAGCAGAAGGAGACAGACCAGAAAAAAGTAAAGCAGTGAGCACAGACGGTGGCTTGGGCTGGTCCAAGTGCTCTGAGGGGAGTGAACAGGACAAAGAGGTGGAGAGCCTAGGCGAGAGGGGTCCTCAGGGGAGGCTTTGGGAAGCGGGGGAGCCCTTGGGGAGAGTCAGGAACAAAGAAGACACCTGGGGACAGCCAGTGGAGAGGCCCCGAGGCAGGAACAGGCCCAGAAGGAGGACGAGAGGAGGGGGAGGTGCAGGGCCCGAGCCCTGGGAGTCTGGGATGGCATCCCCCGTGAACGCCCAGTGCCCGTCAAGGGCGGCTCCAGCTGTGGGAGACGCCCACCGCTGCCGCTGGCTCTCCAGGCTGGGGAATGGGGACGAGGCTGGGGTGCAGGTGGGGACCGGGACCAAGAACCCTACGCAGTGCTGTGAGCATGATTAATTAACCCGAGCCGGGCCCAGGCACGGCGCTAAAAATACCTGCTTCCCGCCGCGGCGCGGCAGCTGCCACCCAGCAACTTCTCCCCGGCGCCATTTATCATAATTTGACACCGATAAGGAGTGTCCGTGGGGCTGCGTGTCTGCAAGAACAGGACTCAGCCCACCGCCCGCCGGCCGGCTGGCTTGTGGGAATCAGCCGTGGCGGCCTCCTACCTGAGCCCTTCTCCCACCCCAGAGCCCGCCTCCCCGTGCCTGCCCCCCCCGCCGCCCCTGCTCCCGCCTGCGGTCTGGCCTCCCCTCCTGGCCCCCTCGTGGGCCCGCCTCCAGGGTGGGAGCCAGAGCTTTCCGGAGAGCAGGGGCGCGTGGTCGGATGCCATGTTTCACAGCACTGCCACCCTGCCACTCGGCCGGGCGCCATCCATCAGAGGCCGTGCCAGCCGGGGCGGCACTGTAATTAAAATATGTAAACCATGCAAGGGGGGGGGGCGGGGGAGCGGGTCTGAAGACACAGGAGCCAGCCTTGGACACGGCAGTACAGGCAGCCCCATGGGGGGGGGCCTGGCCCTTCTCCAGCCCCGGAGGCCCAGGCCTGTGCCAGGCGGGGCCTCCGAGCAGGCGGGGCAGGGGTGGTGCCCCGCACCAACCACCCGCTTGCTCCCCCTCCACCGGGCACGGGCCTCAGCGGGGGCAGAACAGCCGCCCGCAGGAAGGAGAGGCCCTCCCGGTCCGCAGGCCAGCATGGGGGCCCGGAGACCAGGCCAGGAAGGGCCGTCTATCCCACTCGCAACACTACTTCCCTTAAATGACCCATCAGGAAGCCGGCGCCTGGACATCTGTGTTAACTCTTCAGCGAAGCCATTTCCGTGGGCGAGACCAATGAGCTGCCCAAGGTCACTCCACCTTCGACGGCCTTCTATGTGGACAGGAAGTGTGGCCGCCCTGTTGAGAGCAGGGCTAGGCAACTGTTTCTTTTAAAAAAAAAAAAAAAAAATTTTTTTTTAATTGATCTCAGAGAGGGAGGGAGAGGGGAGAGAAATAGAAACATCCATGATGGGAGTCATCCATCCGCTGCCTCCCTGCACGCCCCCTCAGGGGATTGAGCCCCAAATCACGTGACACTCAACCACTGAGACACACAGGCTGGGCTGGTCAAATCAGGAAAAATTATAGGCCGAAAGGTGTAATCCCAACCTTTTCTTAAAGTTAGACAAGGCCCTTGTTTT